AGCACAGTGAAGAGGGGAGAGGCGGAGGAGGAGGGAGGGGGGGGGGGGGGGGCCCGAAAAAACAAAACAAGCCCCAGGAGAGGGACCCGAAAACATCTTGGAGCGCAAAAACCCGGAAACCCAAAGCCCCCCTGGGCATCCAGGGGGCCATCGGGAGCGGTGCGGGCAACCGGAGCTATCTCACCCTCTCCCACGCCGCATGGACGGCAGTCGCAGCCGTTGTATCTCGCATGGCGGCAGTCGCAGCCGCTGTGTCTTGGGGGGTGGCGCTCGGAGTGCAGGGGTGGGCGAGACCGTCTTCCCGCCCTCAGCTAGCCGTCTCCACCGACCCCCTCTCGTACAGAGGAGCAGTCAGCCAGCCAGTCTGACACACCTCCTAGCATGGAGGACGGGCCCACACGCACACACACGCTGCACACGATTGGCTCGGGAGCCGACACGAGGCACACTGCCACCGGCCGTAGCACCGGGTCCGGACTGCCAGAGGAGCAGGCCTCCTGTTTTGCGCGCGCGCCTCACGCCCCCGGGCGCGAACCGCGAGATGTCCCGAGATTGCACGAGATGATCCGAGATGTCCCGAGATTGCACGAGATGATCCGAGATGTACCGAGATCGCACGAGATGATCCGAGATTGTCCCGAGCATAGGCTCGTACCGGCCAGTGAGTCAGCCAGTGTGACACACGTCCTAGCCACGGACGACGGGGCACACACGCACTCGCGAAACACACGGGGCATTGCACGCGAGGCGGAGAGTGCGTCCTAGGCTCGTACCGCGACGACGAGTCGGAGCTGGGCGCGGACGAGCTCGGCAGGCTCTCGCAGTAGCGCTCGGCCAACTAGTAGCACTCGGCCAACGGTTGCCAATCTCGGCTCATTGCTGCTCATCTCGGCTCATCGCATCTCGGCTCCTCTCGGCTCCTCTCGGCTCCTCTCGGCTGCATCTCGGCTCATCTCGGCTCCTCTCGGCTGCATCTCGGCTGCATCTCGGCTCATCTCGGCTCATCTCGGCTCCTCTCGGCTGCATCTCGCCGCAGGCACGCGCAGGACTCGGGCGGGCTGATCGAGGGCATGGGGCAGGACTAGAACGGACGGCAGGGGAGAGGAGGGGGGGGGGGGGGGGTGCTCCCCCGAAGCGCCGCAACAGGCCCTGAGGTCGGGCGAGGGGCCCCTGCACGCGTGCGGCGGTGGGGGGAAGGGAGGGGGGGGGGGGGGCTCTTGGGCGGCGGGGGGCTACCCTTGCTGGGGAACGGGGCCCAACCTCCGGCAAAAAAACCGGGGGTTTTTTCCATCGTGGCCGCTCTTCTCGGGTTGTGGCAATGCCGCGCTGCGCAGGCCGCAGCCCGCAGCCCGCACCAGTAGCAGCCCGGACTCGACAGCTCGAGCTGTCTGGCTTCAGTCTCTTTGTTTGTATGGGTTGTCGGACAGGCGTCGACCTCGCTCCACCAATGACCACCAATGAGCTGTCGCGTGTGCTGCGATGTGTGACATTTCGGTCTCGAGTGTCTCGTGTCTGGTAAGTTTTTTATTTTTCATTTTTGCCGAATTGTGTCGACCCAGTGTCGTGTGTTCTGTGCGCACACCGCATCCCCCCAGGCCAGCGCCCCCAGAACCCCAGGTCCCCCAGAAATTATTGAGCCGAATGCCGAGAGAGAAATACACACGACCCTTGCCTTCACCATAACCAGAGCCCCAGAGGCAGAGTAAAGCCGTGTACCCTTCCCCCGCGCAGTTCGAGTTGCGCATTGGTATTGCCAACAGACCTCTTCGTCTTGCGCGGGCTACAGCTAGGCTGCCTCCCGCGCCTTCGCCCTCGCAGCGGCCGCCGAGATGCGCCTCGCCTTGGCTGCGGCGAGCGCCGCCTCTGCCGCCGCCGCGACCACCGCTACCGCTGCAACTGCCTCCTCGGCCGCCGCCTCCTCCGCCGCCGCGGCCTCCTCCTCCTCTGCCACAGCCTCAGCCTCAGCCTCAGCCTCTCGGCGCGCCTCCGCTGCCGCCTCGGCTGCCGCCTCGTCGCCCGCCTCCCCTGTCTCCCCCGCTGTCTCCTCCTCGCTCGCTTCGCTGGCCGCCTCGGCCTCCTCTCCCAACGCCTCGGCCAGCCCCTCGACCGACGTCTCCGCCGTGATGCCGTACCGAATCCGCTCCTCGTGGAGCGTCTCGAGAAGCCTGATCAACCCCTCCCTGTCCAGCTTCGCGGGCTTGGCTGCGTCTGTCTCTGACGGCGCCTCGGAATCCTGCGACGGCCCAGCGCCGCCACTCCCACCGCCATTCTTCTTCTTCTTGCCTTTCTTGCCCTTGCCGCGCTTCTCCGACTCGACCTCCGCCAGCAGCTCCTCGGCGTGCCGCGCCGCCTCCGCCTCCGCCGCCACCCGCTCCGCCGCCCCCGCAGCCCACGCCGCCTCCTTCACCGCCGCCTCGGCCGCCGCCTCGGCCGCCGCCTCGGCCGCCGCCTCGGCCGCCGCATGCCCTCGAGGGCGCGCACGCACACGGCCGCCGCATGCCCTCGAGGGCGCGCACGCACCCGGCGTGACCCTTCTCCTTGGCGACCTGCAGCGCTGTGTGTCCAGCCACCGTGAGCAGCTCCGTGTCGGCGCCCGCCCGCAGCAGGCAGCGGGGAGCGGCGGGGTGGTCCCTGAAAGCGGCGAACATCAGCGCGGTGATGCCGTCCTTGTCCTGCTGGTTGATCTCCGCGCCATGCTGCAGCAGCAGCTCGACCATCCGCCCGTGGCCATTGAGGGCGGCGAGCATCAGTGCGGTGCGGCCGTCGCTGTTTTGCAGGTGGACCGAAGCGCCACGCTGCAGCAACGCCACGGCCAGCCGCTCGTGGCCGTAGGCGGCGGCGTACATCAGCAGCGTAAAGCCGCTCGCACCCTTCGCAGTGAAAGTCGCGCCCACCCGCTCGCCGCCGTCGAGCCACACCAACACCGCCTCGTCGTCTTGCTTAGCCGCCTCCACGACCTCCTCGGGGACGGCGTCCTCGCCCGTTCCGCTCTCCACGCCGCCAGAAAAGGACGCGGCAGTTGGTGCCGCCGCCACCCCCTTGCCCGAGGCGGCACCACCGTCCGCCCCTGCGCCGCCCGCCTCGCCGATCTCCTCGGGAACAGGCCCGCTGCTGCCGCCCGCGCCGCCCGAAGCGCTGCCTGCCCCCGCGCCGCCCGCCTCGACCGCCGCCGCGTCGCGCCTCCCCACCACCGCCACCTCACCGAGAAACGTCTTGACGGCGGCGACGCACTCGGTGTGACCCTTCTCCTTGGCAAGCTGCAGCGCCGTCTTGCCCGCCGCAGTGCGCAGCGCAATGTCTGCGCCCGCCCGCAGAAGCTGGAGGACGACGACACGGTGGTCATAGTAGGCGGCGCTCGTGAGCGCAGTGTTGCTGCTGCTGTCCTGCAGGTCGATCTCCACCCCGTGCTGCAGCAGCGTCTCGACCACCTTCACGTGGCCGTTGATGGCGGCGGTCATCAGGGGAATTCTTCTCGCCGTATGCCGATGCTGTTTTGCGCGTCCGGCTTCGCGCCCCGCTTCAGCAGAACCTCGACCAGCTGCTTGTGACCGTGTCCGGCGGCGATCAGCGTAAAGCCACTCACACCGCGATGCACGCATGTCGCGTCAACCCGCCCGTCCCCGGCCAGCCACGTCAGCACCACGCCCGCCTTACCGGCCGCCGCGGCTGCCTCGATCTTTTTCGGCAGCGCGAGCCAGCCTGTGGCGCCGTTGAAGCGTGTCCGCGCCGGGAGGCGGCTGAGCCAGCTTTTGGTCGGCCAGGCATGGGAGCGCTCGTCATAACCTCTTCCCACCCCATGCAGCGTGAATCACGCCCGCTGTGAACGGAGCTGCTCTTTGAGACCAAGTGCGCTAAATAGAGCATCAAAATACCTTTCAGACGGTACTTTTCTGTCCTTCAGAGTCGAAGACTCGTCCGGTGGCTGGCCCGCCAAAGTGGCTGGACGGCGCCGCGGCGCACACTGGTGGGCCGCGGAGCACACTGAGGGAGCTGTCCTCGGCGCAGCCGCTCGGCTCCCGCGGCCTGGGTGGTGGCAGTGGCACTCCCTGAGGCTCCCTGATTTTTTCTGGTATTTGTTGAGCACTCTCTGGTCACCTTCGCCGGGCGAGCCTGGCTCTCGCTGCGCAGCGGCGCGACCTTCGGTGAGGCTGCCGATCGTTGAACTGGGCTTAGCTCTCTATCAAGATATTGTGCATATGGTCGGTCTCTACAATATCTTGACTGAGCACAACCGATGAATCGGCAGCAGGGAGACAGGAAGGCTCGCTGTGTGAGTCTGCCACGCAGAGTCGCGAAACCTGGGTGGGAAGAGGTCGGCCTCGACGCCTCGACGTAGGTGGGCCGTCCGCGCAAGTCCTCGATGAAGCAGAGCAGCAGCTCGAGCGGCGTCTGCTGCGTGATGGACGCGCACGCGCTCTGCTGGACGACAAAGGTGTCTGGCCGATCGACGTCGAGCTGGAGCGAGCGGAGCAGCAGAGCCTTGAGCTCGGATCGGCGCGCCACGCGCACCTCGCACTGGTCGCAGGGCCATGGGAGCTGATCGTGCTCGACGCCCGCCCGACCCGAAACCACCGCATGAGCAGCTCTGCACCCGAAACTCGCTCCGCGCCGGACCGTCGGCGGGCGCGATGGCGCGCCTCTGCACGCAGAGCGCGCCGGCCCCGCTGCGTGCGCGGAAGACGCAGCTGACGGCACAAGCGACGCCGTCGTCGCGGCCCGTGCGGTTGACCAGAGCCTTGAGATTTTGCGCCCGCATCGAGCGGAGGTCGAGCCCAAGCGCAAAGCAGATGCCCTCCACGAGACAGCTCTTTCCTGCGCCGTTCGGGGCGACGATCGCAATGATGCCCCGCGAGTTGAACTCCGCCACCACACGGCCCGAGTAGGACTTGAAGTCGTCGAGGACGACGGCGTGGAGCGCGAGCCCGGCCGCGGAAGCGGCCAGCGCAGAGTCGGCGTCCGTCTCTCGGCCCGACCACTTTGGCCAGACTGTGTCCCTCCTATGGAGAAAAAATCTTCGGGGCAACAGGAAGGTGTGGCCAAAAACAAGCAGCCCCGTGGGAACGCACTCCCGGCTCCCGTGCGTGGCCCCCTCCCGACACCGGAGGTGTGCTCCGGGGCACGCCCCCGTGCACGCCTCCTCACCGATGGCAAAAGACATCGAACTCCTGAGCCCTGGCTGTCAGGCTGTCAGGTGCTGTCAGGTGATCTGTCGGGCTGTCGGGCACTGTCAGGCACTGTCAGGTGCCTCTGTCAGACCAGCTGTCAGGTGCTGTCAGTGCTGTCGGGTGCTGTCGGGTGCGTGTCTGACATCAGAGGTGCTCTGTAGCTGTCAGGTGCTGTCGGAGCTGTCGGGTGGTGCTGTCAGACGCTGTCGGAGCTGTCAGAGCTGTCAGGCTGCTGCTGCTGTCAGACGTAGGCCGGTGCTGTCAGGTGCTGTCAGGTGGTGCTGTTGGGGTGCTGTCAGGCTCTGACACACATCAGCCACACTTATGACACTATCACGAGGAGACCAGCAGGACTCTGCTACACATACTCTACTCTGCCTCCGGGCCCACCATCTTTTTCATGGTGGACGTCATCTTCTTGTCTGCCGCACTGAGTCTGAGAGAATAGCAGCCGAGGCACAGGCTGGAGTGCTTCCTCGGGTACACCTTGCTGATGATCTGGTAGTTGCTGGTCCAGCGGAAGGCCTTCCCATCGTTGTCGCTCGTCAGCTTGTAGTACTTGCACGCTCTGTTCTGGTAGCGCGGGCCGTCTGGGGGGGTCCCGTCACCCTTCACCTCACGGTACCACACCGGAGGATAAAGAGGCCCTTGGGGTCGTTGATGAAGACCCCGTTGCTGCTGGCCAGGCGGCGGCGGGGGCGCTGACGCCGATGACGTCGGCGGCTATGCAGCTGCCCCCCTCCTACGGCGTGATCACGCCCCGGCAGCGGCGGCCGCCTGGGGAGCGCAGATGGCGGCGCAGGCGCAGGCGGCGGGCCGGCGGCGGCGGCACAGACGGCGGCGGCCACCCCAACCCAGACGCCGTAGGCATATGACTGTAGGGCCCCAGAAGGCTAGCTGGTAGCTTCATTTGTAGTTGTAGCACAGCCGCGGGTCCGCAGAGGTGGGGCGGGAGGGTTGAGAGAGAGACCCATGAAGCATGACCATCCCCCATGACTGCATGGACCACACTCACATATCTTTGCATGTAATAGTTTTGTTATACCCTCATGGGGCACAAGAAAGAGGCTGCACGGCCTGTGCATGGTCTGTGCTGCTGTCGGGCTGGTCGGGCTGTGTCGGGCTGTCAGCGCTGCTGTCAGGCCACTGTGTGATGTCGGGCTGTCGCGTGTCGGGCAGCTGTCGGGCTGTTACGTCAGGGCCTGACAGCAACGGAGCACCTCTGATGTCAGACTCTGCTGTCAGGCTGTCAGATACGTGCTGTCAGGCTGTCGGAGAAAGTGCTGTCAGCGCTGTCAGGCTGTCGGGCGCTCGCGCTGTCAGGCGCTGTCCGGCTCCGGGGGTTGCTGTCACGTGTCAGGCTGTCAGACCAGGGCTCAGTCGAACTCGCCAGTGACGCAAGCTGGATGGGTTATCTGTTTTCTTTCTTTCTGGATACAAAAGAATTTTCTCTCAAAAAACTAGGCACGGGACTGGCGCGCAGTGGCACCACACCAGTCACCACGATACGGCTCTACCCTCGCGGCCGCGCAGGACGAAAGAGCTGGAAGTGGAACCCCACGTCCCACGACGCAAATCATAAAATCTCCATCCGGACTGCCCGTGCACGTGACATGCACATGCACAACAACATGTACATGTACATGTGACTCCCCCCCCTCCCCCCCCTCCCTCCAACGCAATGTGAATGCCGCGCACAACATCCCACGGATGCTCCATGTGCGAGCTAGCTCTACTAATCGTCCCGTGTTTGCAGGTCATCGCCGCGCCGCACGTTTTGCGCACGACATCGCGCAACCGATCAGACCTGCTGCTGCACCGACGACGCCTCGCCTCCAGAGACCTCGCGCGCCTCCGCAGAGCTGCGGCTGCTCATCTTGGCGAACACCCGGCTGAGTCCGCCAAGGCTGCGCATCGCGAGACTGGTGCTGCCCTCAACGACGCTGCCTGAAGCGAGGAGGCCCGCCCGCGACCGAGCGGGGGTCGCGCCTAGGCTCTTTGCCAGAAGGACGAGCGACACCTGCGGGCAGGGACCCGCCCCTCGTCACGAAACGCTCGATGCGGGGGAGAGCTCGCTGTGGGGGAGAGGGCGCGCGCCTTGCGGTGGTGGCCGGGGAAGCAGGATTTTGCCAGGTCCTTGTAGAGTCCGCCGGCGATGAGCTCCTGCGGCGTTGGGGGGGGAGAGGGTTGGGGGGGAGGAGGGGTGGCGGGACAGGCGCCACGTTGAGACATTCGCTCCTGCGGCGTGACTTCGAAAAACCTCGAGAACTGGCAGCCGCCGAGCGCGGGGTCGTTCTCGTGCGCCATGACGATCTTCAGCTTGTCCTCCCGCGCCTGCTTGACCTGCTCGGCCAGCCGCTCGTCGCTGACGAAGCTGTCCTCGTTGAGGTAGAGCAGCAAGTGCGTCGCGCTGGCCGGCCGATCATCGGTGGTGCAGATCGTGAGACCGGCGGTCTCACGATCTGGGGCAAAGGCGGCGGCGATCTCATCGGCCAGCGCCAGCGACCCCGCGTTGGCTGGCGAGGCCCAGAGCGTGCACGGTTTGGAAAAGGCGAGCGACTGGCTCTCGAGCTCACCCGACACGCAGAGCGGAAGGGAGGTCCTGTCCAGAAAGTTGGGCGAGCAGAGGAGCACCGCCTAGGTTGGTTCAAGTGGGGTTGGCCGGGAGGTAGAGTGAGAGAACGGAGCTGGCTGTGGCCGGCGGCGCCTCGGCGATGATCTTGAGGGAGATGAGCTGAAACTCATCGATGCGATACCAAATCGTGAGCGGCCAGTCGTTGTCAAAGATGGCCGGCTGCAGGTCCTCGGGGCACTCGTCGCGCAGCGCCTGGAGCGTCCCGCCGCCCTTTTCAGGGTCCGCTTCTTGGACGAGGACGAGCGGCTTGTCCTTCTCGAGCGACGAGCGGACCTCGCGGAGGCAGTTCTGTGGCGCGGGCGAGGCGGCAGATCTTGGGGCCAGGGTGCGGTAGAGGGGCGGGGTGGGAGGAAGAGGCGAGCCTTGGAGCGGAAGTAGCCCTGCGAGAGGAAGAAGAGGATGACCTGCGAGCTCTGGATGTACTCCTCCAGCGCCCCGATATCCTTGAGATCATCTACCTATGAGCACACCGCGGTGCGTCAGGGGGGCTCTTTGTGTAGCTTAAGCAGCGCTGATGAGCATGTGCGCGCGTCGAGAAAGACTTTGATGTTCGGCAGCAGCTGCTCGAGCTCACCCTTGATGACCTTGACGGCGTCTTGACCGGTCGACCTATTCGTTTGGGTGAGGGGCGGGGGTCACGCCGGCTGTTTTCGCTCCCTCTCTCCCTCCATAGCCGTGACTCACCAGATGTGGCTGTTGAAGAGGTGCCACGTGAGGCCCCTCACGATGCTCAGCTCGGGGGGCTGCTTGGTCGAGACGAGTCGGATCGTGGGGATCTTGGCGACGCGACGGGCGGCGACGATGGCGCCGACGAGGAAGAAGGCGAGCACGACTGCAACGAGGATGATCATCGAGTCGACAATCACATTGAGGCTGCGGAAGCCGAGGACATCGGCGGGATCTACTCCCTGGTACCGCTCCTGGATGCCGAGGAAGATGGTGCTCCAGTTGGTGCCGAGGAAGAGGAGGAGGAGCACGAGGCTCGTGGCGACGGCGAGCACGTTGTCCTCGACCCGCTTGTACGGCCGCACGACGGCGAGTGCGACGGCGTAGCATGAGCAGATGAGCGTCGCCACCACGAGGCGAACAAAGGCGCGCTCCTCCGGTATTAGAAGCACGAAGCCAGTCAGCACGAGCTTGCGCGCCAGCTCGACCGCCTCCCACCAGTACCAGGTCGTCTCGTACTCCCGGTGAAGGAAGGCGGTGGCCCGCGTCAGAGCATTCGGCGTCTTGGCCTGCAGCGGCTTGTAGCAAGCGGCGAGGAGCGACGTGAAGAGGACCAGCGAGCCGGCGGGCCAGAGGACGATGAAGCCGGTGGCGAGGGCGGTGATGGGTCCGTGATCGTCGGAGCCGCACTCGACGCTCGCGTCCTGCCGCATGTAGGAGACCTGCTCTAGCTCCTCGCCGGGCGGAGAGATCGTGTAGGCCTATCAGCAGAAACTTACGAGGACTGAGGGGTGTGGTGTTGTGAGCAACGGCAGTCATCAGCTGTGAGAGGGCGCCTGGCACGACCAGGAGCGGAAGATGGAGGCGCTGATGGAGGGCACGAAGCAGAAGACGAGCACGAGGCCCGCCGGCGTGAGGTCGAGGAGGCCGAGGGCCGCCTCCGCGTACCACGATCTCTCGCGCGGCGCCGGGGCGGCGCGCCAGCAGCGGAGCCGCAGACTTATCCCCGCGATCATGAGCAGGGCGATGAGCGCGACGGGGGAGAGGGCGATGGCGAGGAGCCGCAGAGCGTAGCCGAGGCACTGCTCCGGCAGGAAAAAGCCAGACCAGTCGATGGAGATCACGTTGGCCAAGTTGTCCGTCCAGCCCGTGTACTTGTCCGGCAGCCGCGCGGAGTAGGTGGAGGAGAGGACGGTGCAGATCTGATAGAAGCCAAACAGGATCTTGAGCTTTGCTGTCATTCCGACCCCGACGTAGTACTTGACGGAGCGGTCTGCAAAGCGGAGGAGAGGGCCGATGATGCGCTCCTTCCGCCACGGCATGTGGTAGGCCCACGCCGCCAAGCCGCACGCGACGCAGAGGCCGAGGACGAGGCCTACGATGCGACCCGCCGCCGCGCCGCGCGCCGCGCACTCCTTGCAGTTGACGCCATCGACGAGGTACTGGTTCTCTGCGGCGCAGAGTTGGCACTCCGGGCCAGTGAAGCCGGAAGCGCAGTACTCGTCCGAAGAGCTCACCTCCATCCTCCGGCGACGAGAGGCCTCTGCCTCGCTGCCGGCGCATCGCTTCTCGCCGGCCTCGCCATCGCCGCCAAAGCCGCCGCACTCTGCCAGCACGGCGGTAAAGGGGCTGGCGCGCCAGAAGCCGGCCGGGATACCGAGGGACTCGAGAGACGTGTTGACTGGGCAGTCGGCGTTCGGCGGGCAGGACTTGCAGTACGCGGTCGGGGATCTGAACATATCGTCCGGGTCGGCAGTCGCGTTCCGCAAGTAGTAGCCGTCCATGCAAAACGAGCAGGTGGTGCTGCCGCTGGCCGAGCTGAGGGGATGCGGACATAGATTGCAGAGGCTTTGTCCAGCGTTGGCGGCGTATTTGCCAGCCTCGCACTCGTCGCACGCGACGCTGCCTTGATTCGACGAAGTGCCGGGATCGCAAGACTCGCACTTGGACTGCCCCTCTGTCGCGGCGAAGGTGCCAGGCGAGCACGGCGTCTGCTGCGTGGAGCCGGTGGTGGCGAAGTGGCCCGGCGAGGCGTCGGTGCACTCGCTCGCGGCGAAGAGGTTGGTGGCGCGCGAGTAGCTGCCAGCCTCGCACGGCAGCGCCGCCGCCGCGCCAACAGCGCAGTAGCCGCCCGCCTCGCAAGCGCGACAGGATGTCGCGCCCGTGTCGTTCTGGTAGGTCCCGCCCGCGCACTTGTCGCACGCCTCCATCCGCTCGGCCGGCGCGATCGTGCCCGCCGCGCACTGCGTCGGACGCGCGGCGCCGCCCGGACACGACGAGCCCGCCGGGCAGTCGAAGCAGTCGGGGATGCCGTCGCCGTCCGTGACGTTGGCGTATGTACCCGGCTCGCACGCCGCAGGCAGCTCGAGCGACGCGCCGACCGGGCAGAAGCTGCCAAGCCCGCACCGGACGCAGCCGGCAGCACCGATGGCGTTCTGGTAGGATCCCGCCTTGCACGGCTCGCACTCGGCGTTGCGCGAGCCGGATGCGAATGTGCCGGCGCGGCAAGCCATGGGAGTCGCGCTGCCAGTGGTGCAAGCGTGGCCCGAAGGGCAGTCCTCGCAGCTGCCCGCCGAGTCAAGATTCGTCTTGTTCGAGTAGCTGCCAGCCTCGCACGGCAGCGCCGCCGCCGCGCCAACAGCGCAGTAGCCGCCCGCCTCGCACGGCTTGCACGCCGTCTGCGCCTCCGCGTCCTGGTACGTGCCGCCGGCGCAGGGCGTGCACTCGCCCTGCCTGGTCTCGTTCGTGTACGACCCCTTGGCGCACGCCGTCTGCTCGGTGGAGCCGGTGGTGGCGAAGTGGCCCGGCGAGGCGTCGGTGCACTCGCTCGCGGCGGTCGCGCCCTGGTAGGAGCCCTCGGCGCAGAGCTGGCAGACCTCGTTGCGCGTGCCGCTGGCGAAGCTGCCCTCGCCGCACGCCGTCTGCTCGGTGGCGCCCCGGGCGGCGATGTGGCCCGGATCGGCGGGCGTGCACTGCGAGGCGGCCGACAGGTCCGTCCTGTTCGAGTAGGACCCGCCCTCGCACGGCAGCGGCCTCGACGCGCCCGGCTCGCAGTAGCTGCCTTTCTCGCAGTCGCGGCAGCCAGTTGCGCCCGTGTCGTTCTGGTACGTCCCGCCCTCGCATTGCGCGCACTCGGAGAGGCCGCCCGTGGCGGCGTAGCTTCCCTTGGCACACGGCGTCTGCTGCGTCGAGCCCGTGGTGGCGATGTGGCCCGGCGAGGCGTCGGTGCACTCGCTCGCGGCGGCGAGGTCGGTGGCGTTCGAGTACGACCCGGCGGGGCAGGGAAGGGGCACGCTCGTCCCCTCCGGGCAGACGTGGCCAGCATCGCAGGGCAGAGCCTCATAGGTCGCCTCTGTGGGGCACTGAGAGCCTGCGGGGCAGCGGCCGGCGCAGCTGCTGCTCGACTGCTCCTTTGGGTCGGCCGAGCCGAGGAGGCCGGCGGCGCAGGCGAAGGGGAAGTCCTCATCGACGGGCAGCAGCGGCAGCTGGTAGAGGTCATCGCCGAGGAGGGAGGGGTCGTCCTCCCAGTTGCAGGGCTGCACGAAGGTCGGGTTCTGGCAGTACCAAGGCGGCTGGCCGACTGCTGCGACGGCGAGGGCGCAATCTTCGCGGTGCTTGAGGCACGCCTTCTGCTTGGCCTCATAAGAAGGGTAAGGGCACGCCTTCCGGTACACCTCGCAGCGCGCGTTTGGCAGCCAGCGGCCGGCGGGGGCGGGGAGGGTGTAGGAGACCTCGCCAGCGAGCAGGAAGACGGAGCGGCCCTCTTGGGCCAAGCAGCCGCTGATGAGAGTGCCGTCACTCAGGGTGGTGCGCCCGCCCGCCGAGTAGAGGCCGCCGCCAGACTCTGAGGCGATGCAGTTGGAGATGGTTGAGCGGGCCAGGCTGGCTCTGGCTGAGCCCGAGGCCACGTGAACTGCGCCGCCTCGCGTGGCATTGCAGCCGGAGATGGTGGAGTCGGTCACGATGAGGTCGCTGCCCCACGTGTATGTGGCTCCGCCCCACTGCGGTTGCGAGGAGAGAGCGGGGTGAGGCAGCCGTGGCCCCTCTCCATCTCTCGCCCCGCTGCCGTGAGGCGCTGCAGGGCGGCTAGCTCTACGCGGCGCACATAGTTAGCCGAGCAGTTCGCCAGAGTCGAGCTGGTTATCGAGACCGCACCGCTGCGAGACGCGTAGACGACGCCGCCGTTCTGCGGTTGCGAGGAGAGAGCGGGGATGAGGCAGCCGTGTCCCGTTCCATCTCTCGCCCCGCTTCCGTGCGGCGCCGCAGGGCCGGCGGCTAGCTCTACGCGGCGCACATAAGCCGAGCAGCCCGAAACGGTCGAGCCGATTAGCGAGACCGCACCGCTGTCATACGCGAAGACGACGCCGCCGACCTGCGGTTGCGAGGAGAGAGCGGGGTGAGGCAGCCGTGGCCCTCTCCATCTCTCGCCCCGCTGCCGTGCGGCGCTGCAGGGAGGCGGCTAGCTCTACGCGGCGCACATTGTAAGCACTGCAATCCCTCACATCCGAGTCGATGATCTCGACGTCGCCTGCGCCGTAAGCGTACACAACGCCGCCGTCCCAGGCGTCCCACGCCCTCCCGTTGACGAGGGTCAGCCCCCGCAGGGTGAGGCTGCAGCCGCCCGAGAGGGAAAAGAGCCTGGTCTCTCGCTTGCCGTCGAGCGTCGCGCCCTCGCCGCTGCTCGCGACGGTCACTTTGATGGTGGAGGTGCAGCTGATCTGGCTGCTCAGCTTGAAGTGCGCACTGGGAGGCAGGTAGACGGAGACGTCGGCAGACGTCGGCTCCTCGATCAGGTTGCGGAGCTGGTCCTCGCTCTCCGCGGCGACATAGCCGGGGGAGAGCGGCGGCAGCGGCGGAGGCGGTGAAGCTGGCGGCGACGGCGGCGATGGCGGCGGCAGCGGGGGCGGTGACGGCGGCGGCGATGGCGGCGGCAGCGGGGGCGGCGACGGCGGCGGCGACGGCGGCGACGGCGGCGACGGCGGCGACGGCGGTGGCGACGGCGGCGACGGCGGCGACGGCGGCGACAGCGGCGGCGGCGGCGGCTCCGACGGAGGAGAGATTGGTGGCGCGGCCGGTGGCGCCGCTGGTAAATTGCCGCATACGCCCTGCAGGAAGAAGAGGATCACAATGCCAACTCGGAGAGCACGCGTGCTGGAAAGCAAGGGTACGGAGATCGCTGCGTGGCTGCTGCGCTCCACGCTCTTCTTCTTGACCTGCCCACGCAACGGCGGCTCAAGGAACGCCGCGAGGAGCAGCGCCAGCACGGCTGCACAAGAGTGGAGAAAGAGCAGCGAGGCCACATCGACCTCTGAGAGGGCCGTGGCGGTCGTGAAGCTCTCCTCGAGTGAGGGGTCGCCGATCTTCGTCGCGCCGGAAGTCTCGTCAAATAAGGGGGCGAGCTCGGCGTAGGCGCCGATGTTGAGCGTGGAGGTAGTCGGGTAGGTCTTACCGATCCCGATCTCGACGTTGGAGTGGGCCGTGGCATACGTGCAGTCCGCCTCGTCCGTCGTGGAGCCCGGGGCAGGCTTGTTCTGTGAGGGGGGGTGGGGGGGTTGGAGCGGAGGCGGGGACGGCGCGGCGGAGGCGCCGATGTGGGGCCGACGGTGTGGGAGCGGGGAGCGAGGGCGGGGCGGAGGGCGGCGCAGGGGAGGGCGGCGGAGCAGGGAGAGGCGGCTAGGGAGGTGGGGGGGGGCGGCGGGGGAGGGCGGCCGGCAAGGAATGGTGTGTGGGGTGGGGAGGGGGAGAGGGATGAGGGAGGTGGCGGCGGCGGAGGAGGGGGCGGGGAAGGAGGTGGGGAGGGCGGCTGGGGGAGGGCGGGGGCGGGGGCGGGGGCGGGGGCGGGGGCGGGGAGGGGGAGAGGGTGGTGGGGGGAGAGTGGGGGGCGGCGAGGGCGCCCGGGCGGAGATGGAGAGGCGGGGAGGGCGGCGGAGCATGCCCCCGTGAGAGAGGCAGACGGTGTGGGAGAGAGCGGAGAGTCGCACACCTTTGTGTCCGTCTTGTCGGCCTCGCTCTTCGAGTGGGCCGTGGCGGTCTTGAGGCTCGTCTCGCTGCTCGTGGAGCCCGAGGCCTTGATCGGATCCTCAGAGACGCAGAGCTCGGCGAGCGGCGGCGGCGGCTCCGCGCACCACACAGGGGCGGCGGCGCCGCCGCACGTGACACCGACGGAGTTGGCGGTGGAGTCGGCGAGCGAGACGTCGCCATTCTTGACCGCGCCGGTGGTCTCGCCAAAGGAGGCGAGCTC